AGGAGACAATTAACCATATGATGAAACAAGAGGGGAGTTTTCATGATCCAAATCCCATGTTGTTACTTATGACATTTTGTGCCTGAGCAGATTGTCACCCACGCAGTTTTCATCACATATTGTAGATTGTGATAATAACTATCATTTTTGTAGTAAATAGCGCACGGTTTAAACATATCTGCAGTAACACAACTTTAGTAATCTATCATGTTTTTACTTGCTCTTTGATTTAAAAACAGTGCAAAATATCACTTGCTTTGAAACAGAAATGTTGATTGATCAGATGGATTATCTGTCACGCACAACATGCATCGTGCTTCATTAGTTGATAAAATATGGTCTTTGGGTAAATATATAATTTCCTATGATTGGCTATGTGTTTGGTCATGGTGAGCTCAGGGTTCAATTCGACCTGGTTAATTGTTAACTCAGTACTAGCAATAACAATTCCTGGTGGGTGATACACTCAAATTTCGGCCCACTTTTGCTAAATTTGTCATGGACAAAAATATGTACATACTCATAATTAGCCCCAGAAACTCTACAAATTTTTAAAAACATTTTTAAATGACAAAAATCTATGAAGATTGCAAAGAACTTTTTATAACACCATTTTTGAAATCGCCTCAAAATTTTAAAAAAAGTTCAAGATTCTTGAAAAGTTGTCATTAACTCAGAAAATGTCAAAAATTTCGCCGTCGACTAATGTATTCTACTTATTCTAGAAAAGTCAAAAATATGAATGTCATATTTTTTTTTACCCTGAAAAACAAAAATTGATAAAATTCGACTCAAATCTGAGTACATCACCTGACACCATCGCATTGTAAGTCAAATATTAATGCTACTGTCCTCATCCATTAAGAATGCATTCTAAATACTTCCTAAAACGGTGACAGGTTAGCTCAACACTTGAATCAGCATTTTGAAATCTTGTAAATTGTTGATTTCAACAGTTGAAAGCATGACTGAAAAATTTAAAGAATTTTCCTTTCTGAATTCCGCAAAGTCACCTACATAATTAAAAATACGTCAAAATTCCAAACGTCAAAAAGCGACGGCAATCCACATGCATGTTTGCTTACTTTTTTGTTTACCGAGTCAAATATTTACCAGCCTGAAAAATATTGCCATCAACAGAGAAACGTAAACATTTTCAAATGCATCTTGGCTTAAGTTGGGTCGTACCATTCGTGCCAGATATTCGATTATGTATGTTGAATGCTGGAGGTTAAGCTGTAATTATTTTGAGAGCTTTCCGTTTTCGGGGCAACGCTGGCTGCCCGTCCTCATGAACGGTTGGTATATTTGGTATATTGGCTGGGCAATAGTAGATACAGAGATCAGCAGCATGAAAAAAGATCTGATTCCAATGGAGCAATTATTGTATATATGCGCCAGAGAAATTGTGTTGATTAAGATCAAAGGAGAGAACCCCTGGTGTCAGGGCGAGGGCAGGGGTCCCACACGCCCTTTTGTTCTGAATCACTTTCCTTGTCAAAACATTTAGTCGTTTCGTTGGTTCGTCCGTCGGTAATAGTTTCTTTCTCCTCAGAATTCTAATGTTACCTCAAAATGCAGAAGGGATGCAGGCTCAAGTTGTGTTGGAGAGGATCGCATCAATTAGGAAACGCTGTGTGTGTGTGAACCAAACAAGAAACGAAATTCTATATGTATAGGCTTTACACTAGCAAATACACCAGTAAATCACATACTGACATCAGCTCCGTAGGTCCATTTTGTTAGGTGAGGAAATTCATAATCAAGGTTAGAAAATAAATTTTAAACAACCATAATCGCGTCTTTTCGATTACAATTACGAGTAGAATAAAACAGGAAAGAAGGATTGAGCTGCTGATTAGCTGTAATTTGAGAGTAGCACGCCTCTCAAATTCTGCATGCATTGAGTGACAAACGCGTGAATGTGTGTTGTGGATTTAAACATTATCAATGCATAATCTACAAAAATATTATGGATACGAGGACTAAAGCTTATTTTGTATTTTGACTAAACCCCATACACTCACCGCACCTTCTTCACCCCATTCATCCTGTGCTCTCTCAATTATTCAGCAGTAGGGGTTTTCAATTCACACTCATCCTCATTCAACCTGGAGAGCACTTATTGGCATTCATGGGCAATAAATCTCACAAAGAGCGTTGGACAGTTTTCACACAACAAATGCCAGAATAATGAAGTGTGTGAAAACTGAGAGACCCTTCCTGCTAAATACAGACGCACTGCTACTCATACGGCAAAATGGAACAGATTGCCACCCATTCATGAGCCCTTACGTTTACGTTTCTTTACCTGGTCCACAACCAGCCAGCCAATGATCAAATAAATAGATGCCAATAAGCATTGTCCGTAATTGGTGGCCGACACAATAATCTTTGAAATAATCAACTGTCAAATTTCCAGTCTCAATAACTTTGTCACACAGACAATAATGTTGTTGGTAATGACATTTCAATTGCAGTTGCATCCTATTTAATGTTTATGGACACAACATTTACGCCATGTTTGTGCATATGTAGTCGACAAATTGTTCTGTGGAAATTTTGGTTTCCTGTATATGATGGCTTCATTGGCTCCATGCAAATTTTCAACAGAATTAATGTTAATATGCAATGTGACTTTAAGAAAGGAAAAAAGAACACTGTTTTAATTAACAAGCGTGGATCTATGTTTTTACATTATAGAGGCATAACAGTATTTGCTATGAGATAATCATTTATAAATTTGTGAGGACAAAACTTAACACAAACAATGCAATTAGTATTAAATGTTAAAACTAATGTTCAGCTGAATCGTGGCAGATGTTGTCAAAATATTTATTTCTGTTCATGAATAGGTTGTTGTGCCTCACATTTGCAACGCATAATTCATCTAGTTTTACATATGATGGATGTCCTATATGCACGGAGAGGATTAGTTTAAAATGAAAAACTGTGTTGATCATAAAACACATAAAACACTTTTTCTTTTAAATTTGTAGATTATGGTGGTGATAAAAAGTATTTACATTGAAGAACCAAACCAACATGTAGAAACTTTTGTTTAATTCTGGATATTTTAAAAGCAATTTGCGTACATATTTTCTTAATGGATCTTAATCTGTAGAACAACAAATTGGTCTCTTGTAAAAAAATATTTGAAACCAAATTAGTTAAAAGAAATAGACAAACATGCTTCTCAGCAATGAGTCAGCTCGGAGGAATCATTAGTACTTGTACATTAATACAAACACAGACATTTTAAGAAAGACCAACAGTTCAGACTTGTTTTGGCCCGAGTCAGTCTTTGTCTCTTTCTTCATTTCGAAAACCAATTTGGGTCATCTTTCTTGCGATCTCATGACCAATACCTTAATAAAAAAGAGTGGTATATTTATTGTTTCCATACAAAATTTGTGCAAACTTTCGAGAATATTGGATAAGCCGTTCGACCGCTTATGTAGTGTCACTTATGAACAGACGTACGCAAGTGATTATTCCATAAGCCCTGGTTCGGACTGAAGAATAAATGCGGATTCAATAAGCTGCGACGGCTGTTTGCATATGTATATGAAGATGTAAGTTTTGGCGAACAACCATCATCGCGATTATGAATAGTTTTGCATTTAATAAATATAATAAAAGTTCGCCACCTAAATTTTTGTATAAACAAAACATGCTTTTTGGTAAACAACGCCATTCACTCGTGTCAAATATTATAAAGGTCGTAAATGCAAGAAAGATGTGACAGTGCTTGCCACACGTTGGCTGCTTGACTTCTGGTTAAGCGAAATATAATCGTTTGTTTATCTGCAACTCGTTGGTCATAAAAATAAACATGAATTTAAATGAGCCATTCTTCTTTCGTAAATAAATAAGTACTCTCCATTGGACTAGTTTGCTCAAGAAACGGGATTGTAACATGAGAAGCATTGAAAACAGTCGGTTAAAGCTATGCAATTATTTTACACTGCTTAAATTTCTACGCAATCTTAATGAATGGGTGCATGCGAAAAAATTAAACAAGTAATTCGATTCCTGGAAAAGAAGAACAGTTGTTATTTTTGTTGTAAAAAGTTATTGACTGTTTTGTTAAGACTTTTTTTAACACACACAGTGTAACGTTTACATTTATGTCTAATCCGCATAAGCTGTGAGTCAGTGTGTCCAGTTTGAACCTTTAAGTGCTGTATGGCCTACTGATCCTGAGAGATTGAACTTGCAAGGTTATTGGTAACTTGATACATACTTATTTTAGAGTTAGTGTTATTGTAGGTACATGTGCTAATGTTAATTCTAATGCTAATGTAGGTACGCGATTGAAAGAAAGCTAGGAATAATTAAGGAAAATATGTATGTGCGTGTATCATAGTGAAAGCATTATGAAAGAAATTAGAAATTAAAATCTCAAGATTTGATCAAAATTCAATGCAAGACAGGACTTTGTATCAATTCTCCGTTTCCGCAAGGTGGATTCGGAGAACCTGACCGTACAAAGGAAAGCAGGCGAATTGGATAAAAGGCTTGCAAATCCAATTGAGTTTGCAGAGGAGAGAGGCAGTAGCATTTTCGCGTAGAACACGATCGTGAACAACATTTATACAACAGAGCTGATAATGGTAGCGAAAGGCCGAGGTTGTATAGAAAAATAGAGAAGAAGCTCGAAGCGAGGTGTCTGAGAGAGCAGAGATTGATTGTGCGGTGTCGTCGTCGCAGCAGCGTGGCGACTTGGTAGGAGATCTTTGAAAACTTACTGTTGTGTGCGCTGCAGTGGTGGTGGTGGTAACTGTGGGGAGTGCCCCATCCAGTTGGTTGGTTGGCCATCGCCAAGGCTGGGCGTCTACCCAGAATGGAAGCTTACAAATTGTGCATACACAGAGACCAATAGTTGCTCCAAAATATTATCCAACACTCGACTCCCCTTCTTCCGAATGCTTTCTACAAAGTTTTAACAACACTGGGGCGTTTCAGCTCAACAGCATCATCATCATCTAAACTACTTCTAAATAAACTCCTCTCCAACAGCACTGCAAATATTTTCTACAAAATGAACCAAAAGCGCAAGCCATGTCTCTTTCATAGCATCATCATCGGCCCCGTCTAACAACTTTATCCAAGTCCAGTGGTAGCACTGATTTCGAGCTCAATTTAACATCAACTTGGCGTGAGCAAACATCTTCCAAAACCAATAACTGTCTCATTCTCTGTATTCATACACAACAATAATCAAACACACGCATCAGCTTGGTAGGCTTCTGCTTCTGTTTTTAAAACACAGTCGAGGCAAGTTGAGACAACGGTCACTTTCTCAATAGTGAGATTCTCGTTTAGCCAAGTCACATAAGGTCTATACACATATATGTCAACTGACAACTGACTCTGACTAATGCAGTTGACTGCAAACTGTTAATTAAGGGAGCAAGATTTTGTGTTTTGTGGATAATTGCTAACCAAGTGCAAGGCAGTGATAGTTGAATATACTTTGTGTGTGGTGTTACATGACTATGTCGACAAGTTCCTCCAATAACCAGCAACTTTCTTCACGAGTAAGCAATTTCACATCTCTTGCACAAAACAACATGCCACCTGGAACCGGAAATGGAGGTGGTGGAGTTAACAACCAGGCAGTGCCAGTAAATAACATGGCGCTCAGCACGGGTGCTGGAAATATCGGAGGCCTCCAAATACCGGGGATACTTTCTCCTGCCAGCGCCCTGGAACATTATCGCCTCTCTCAGCTGTATCAGTACGCCATGGCTGCAGAACGACTCAGATGTCCACCTGGCTCCTTCATGCCACCCATGCCGCCCGGAGTAAGACCAGAACTCTTCTATGGACCCTACTGCAGAATTGATCCCAGACTTGCAGGCTTATGTCGACCCCCAGAGGAACCAAAACCTCAGCAGGTACATGTACTTTCACTCTCACTTCACATGAGTTAAGAGTTGACAACTTTATCTGGAAAATCTTGTATGCATTTAAAAGCTGATCTTGCATACGTGCATGTGTATACTTTCTGCACTAATGATAAACAAATTACATCATTTTTCAGAGCTATATCGGGCTCATTGCAATGGCAATATTGAGTTCACCGGAAAAAAAGTTAGTGCTGAGCGATATTTATCAGTACATTTTGGATAACTTCCCCTATTTCCGAGCACGCGGTCCGGGGTGGAGAAATAGTATTAGGTTCGTAAACAGACCAGTGTTGCACATTGTATCATCCCCCTAAACCAATTTAGTACTAATTGTTGTTTTCTTCATTTAGGCATAACCTGAGTTTAAGTAAGTGAACTTAAAGTACATTCATATATGGTACACATGCTTCGTCGTCTCAAGTCTTTCTAGTCCTTATGTATTTTTTTAACGTAATTCCTTGTTTTTTTAGATGACTGTTTTATCAAGTCGGGAAGATCGGCTAACGGAAAGGGTAAGTGTAAGTGATTTTATGCTACTATTCTCATTGCCAGAAACAGCATATTTTTTTGAATACCTCATTCCTATCAGTCATTCATATTTGTCCTGATTTATTTTCCAAAAACTAGGATGCATTAGTTTACACGCATATTATCAACATGATGGAAGCTTGTATTAAACCAAATGTGTTATATCCATGAGCTCCAGTAAATATTTCTGTATTGTTATAAGGTCACTTTTGGAGAATCCACGACGCTAATGTGGATGACTTTACCAAAGGGGACTTTCGTCGTCGTCGAGGTAAGTCGATACCTTCCGAAATTCAACGTCCAATTTGTTTCTTTCCTTCTTTATCTCTGTTAGGAATGATTTCTTAACCAACTCATTGAGAGAGATTCTTTCACTGTATTTTCACCCAATTTACTTAATTTATTCTGTCTAGCCCAGCGGAAAGTCCGCAAGCACATGGGGCTCGCTGTGGACGATGAAGATTCTCCCAGGTAAAGAATATATTGTTTCATTTGGCATAATTAATAATCACGTAGTAAGCAAAAGTAGGATCAAAAATATCCAAACTAACCGTCGCATTGAATTTTCAGCCCCCCACCTTCGTCCCCACCCCCAATATGGCACCATCCTCATCACCCCCTCAACCACGGCGGTGTGGGTCACATGGGAAATCCCATGAATCTCGCTGGGTCACCACCAGGCCCAGGTTTAGATCCTGCCACCCTGTTTGGTCTTACAGCCGCCGCTGCTGCCAATTTGAGCCAGAAACCACCAACAGGTCATCACCATCACCATCCCAGTCACCTCCATTCCGTCAATCAAACTCTAATGTTGAGTCGAAAGCGTCAATTTGATGTCGCTTCTCTGCTCGCACCAGAAAAGGATCGAAGTCACCTATCTCCAGTATCATGCAAAAGTGATGAGAACAGTCTCTCTAGTCCCAGTCCACCCCCAACCATGATCAAAAGAATGAATGTAGGCAAACAAAGGAATGCTGAAGATTCTTCAACTTCTGAGCATTCAGAGAACGAGGACATTGAAGTGACAGAAGATGATACTCGAGAGAAGAGTGAGGAAAGGATTCCTTTGGGAGACATTGATGATGATCGCAAGAAGATTGAGAGTGAGCACAACGAGTCTGCTAATAACAATTCTCATGTGCAGCAGCAGCAGCGAAGATCGTCGTCTGCGGGGCAAGGTGGGAATTCCAGCAATGACGACGAAGACAATGAGAATCAATCTCGGCATCTCAACAGTGGTCAACAATTTGGGCTGATGGGTATGAACAACTCGGGCAGCAACAACCCCTTGAATTTTGCTGGATTTCATGGTCACGGTCAATTGAATCAAGACTCATTTTCACAATCAAATCTTCCTCCTCATGGAATTATGCTGCCATTAGACTTCATCCAAGCCCAGCATTTTATTCAACATCATCAAAGTCAAAGTGGTGGTGGAGCTGGGTTACAAAATCCTTCAAATAACCCGTCATCCCAACTCCAGTCCTCAAATTCGAGCTTCCCGTTTGGTCCCGGAGGTCAAAACATACTCCAGCAGAACTCATCGTTAGCATCATTAATGATTCTTTCATCCAGATACAAAGAACTCACATCAAGTATGATTATAGCGAGCAGACGGTCCCCTCAATAAATACTCAATCCAATAAGTTGCTGTTCATTTTCAATGCGTTGAATGCTAACAAGGCAGTGTTTCTCTATTCCAGTCGAACCTTGGCTCCTCACATGCATATACTCACTCCCTCACTCATTAGTATTCCTGGCTCATCTTGGATTTCTGATGGGCTAATAAAAATAGCAGTTATTGGTTGTCCTCCTGTCACGATTATCATAGTCCAAGTCTTAATCTTTTAATTGATAGACCAACCCAAATCTGACAAAAGAGAGAAACGGCTGCAAGATTTGACATGAATGACACGAAATAAATATTTTGGTGAGACAAAAAGGCAATCGGTGAATCCAATAAGGAATTGTGATGTCCCTTTTACATACGTTAATTTTTTATAATTGTTCTTTTTTAATTCATTATAAATGCAACAATTATTAATTTATAGTAAGATAATCGTAAAATAGAAATGTCTAATACGTCACTGTTACTTAATTGTTTTTATTAAATACAAATTAGAACGTTACTCAAAACACAACGAAATAAAAATGATTTAAAAATATTAAGCCGTGATTTGCATAACTTTATGAACCACACTCATATCTATTTATTAAACAGCACGATGAATTGCACATTAATTAAGAGGTTGGTGATGGTGTAATAACTTTGCATGAAATCTAGAATCAAATGTGCACTATATCCACATTAACGCTATGTATGTGTATATAGGAAATGAGATTAAAATTCATTTTTCTATACATTTATCATAAAATGCATAATTAGTTTACGTGTGATAAGCACTACAGTATTTCACAACAATCAAAAACCACCAGCAAAAATGCACTACTGTTTAAACACGTGCAAGATATTACTTATTCTGTATCATGTGAATGAATTAATAAATGAGAGACGGGAGAACTGACATGAGGGTGGATTGCTGATTAAATCTTTGATGATAAAAACTGAATGCCTTTACTCATACATAATCTTTCAGATGTAGACGAATCTTTCAAATTTTTCATATTCTTGCAATTTGTAATCAACTCTGCTCACTTGTACGTACGTAGATGTGTGCAAGTAGTGCCCTGATTTTTTACTAATGTTAACATGTTTCACGTTTCATTCGAGGCACATATTATTATTACTACACCAGATGGATGGACTATGCTACCTTTACTTTTAATGGTATGTATGCACATAAGTAAAGCAAGATCTTTGGAGATAAATTTCGAGATTTCATTTCATTTCGTCTCATTTTATTTATTTGATTCAAAAGAGAGCAATCTAATCCAAACGTGGGTATAAAACTTCCAAGTCGTAACTGATAGTCATTCCTTCCAACCCAATCCTATTATTATTTCCACATATTCCCTCACGACTCACGAACGGAACGTGAACCGGAAGCTAAAGCAGAGCTTGAACAAATCTTTTTTGATTCCCGACTCTGTGTCCACTCCCGCTCCATACAATTCTCAGATCCATTTTATTTTATATCAATTTGTGATCTAAACTTTGCCGTTCAATTCCACAAAAACTAATTTTCTTGGCTTAAACTTCTCCAAATTCATGCTCTTCTTACATACATACAGTCGGCTTGAGAAGCAATTTTCTTTTCACAGGAAAAACCAGCAATCACAAATTCAAGAACTCGCTGGTTGTCGATATTCCTTCATGTTTTGTAGTGACGTAAGACGTGACAAGGATTCGATTGTAGGTTGTGATGAATTCTCATCCAGTGGAGTATCAATAATTTCCCTTGCTTTTTCAGGCGAACATCGCTGCATGGGAACACGCGACCGTTACGCAAGTTACAGTCCGTCGGCGGCGGACATCGTCCTCCTCTCATTATCATCATCATCAAATCACAATCAAAGCTACATATACGTCAGCCATCAATAAGGCAGTAACCTAATCATCACTCACAGATTGTAACCAGGACATAATCGCATGTAACTGATGGGTAGAGTTCAGTACCGGCATGTTCAATGTGCTTGACAAACTCGCTCCCCATTCATCCCCCTGAGTAAATTCATTGTGGTTAAAGCTATTCAGACTGACTGAATATGACAGAAGCTACAGTTCCAAAGTTACTCATCTGTGTAAACCAGCTTGAGTTAGTTGTGTTAACTTGACACCCACCGAGAGCGTCAAATCATAACCCCTGCATACATACATATGTACATATTATGCAGTACAGATTGTGGACACGGTCAATTTCACCACATGCTATAAAACATGTACATGCATGCATATGTAAGTAGTATGACATTGCCATGCAGCCCCACATTGTCATCTTCTGCATATTAACACAATAAATTAATCTTAGTGGGTTATAGCTGTAGTAACGAGTATTTATCACGAGTATCACAAATCAGTTCATCCAGTACGTACCATAAAATTGCAATCTTTAATTAATGTTAAAAATGTACATTTACATAATGTATGTAGTTAAATTGTGTTTCCCGTACTCCTTAATGTCACCTTAATGTCAGTACGTATGACTTGTGCACTTATTTATGAATCCCATTTATGAATGCATCAATATATTTTGCTTCGCACCATTATTCATAAGAATTACAAGATCATCTACTCAAAATAATGCTCACACTCCCGAAGCATTTTGCCTCAACAAAAACTTGAGGCGATTTGGGAACAATGGGGCGCAACGGGGGCACTTTATTCAGTGAATTTGTACTTCATTCCACAATGCTAAATGCTGCTTATCCCAACCAATGCAACCCCATTCTTTTTATTGTCCTCGCGTAGTCAACCCCAACCACTTTCTGCTCGATCAAGCATCATCATTTCTCTCCGTTTAGTGAAAGGTTAAGTTTTGACAATGTGACGTGGAATGTACTCAAACTAATTCGACACACAATGCACCCTCCATGGATTTATTCGCACCAAGGTGTCAAAGTTGGTGTTAACAACTAATGACTAACAACTTGAGGAGGAAAATATGAATGCATTCTTTTCATTCTACAAATGCGTATTCAACTTTGAAATAAGTGAAGCAAATAATTTGTCGCTTCAAATAAAAGTCGCAACCGAGGTATGCTACTTGTGAAGCTCTTGGTTTGGCCTCTGTTCTTGTCACCTGATGTCCAACTGCTGCTGGAATTCTTATAACTTGGTTATTCACTTTTTGCCAGATGCTGCTAATCTGGAAAATTCAGGAGCGCAAGAAAATGGCCTAAAAATAGACGGATGGGTCTGTTATAAATTTATACTTACACACAGTACTTACGTACAGTGTTGTCGCAGTTAAGATTTTCTTCCAATTTTTTTCAGTATAGCTATTTAAATGTAGGATCCTTAGAGAAAGCATCGCGCTGCACCTCATAATCAGTTTAATTATTTATGTTTTGGTAGCATATGAATCAATTAAAGTTACATTAATGTGATACTATATTTAAGGTATACTGTACATGCAGAGTTAAAGAATTACGTAATAATTATGTATAATGAATTTTTGTATGCACGTTTAGCAGACATGGACAAACCTAGATTTCAGTTTAATATGTTGTATTGGAACATTAGGAAGGCGATTTGTCTCACCTTCCTCCCAAGACTAATCCTAAGATACTGCAGGCAAGTTTCCTGTTATTTAATGTAGCAGAATAAATATAACACCTTTCCTTAATCGGATAAAGGAAGCAAGGTCAGTTCACTTGTTAGTTTCTTTATTAAACCAGATTATCTTTTGAGTAACATAAGTAAGCATGTTATCACAAAATACGTTAGACACATAAATTGGTACTCAAGTTTGTCGATTTGGCACTAGCATAGAGCCTTTCTTGGAGAAATGTCAAGTTGCATCAGCATGTACAACAATATTTAGTGGCGCAGGGACAATAGAGTACTTAAAATTAATCCCAGCTTAGCTTTCCTTGTGTTATTACAGCAAGTAGCTCATTATCATTACTTGTCAATAGGACAAGGGGTAGCTATAAGTTTTTCTGGTGTGAAAACTTTTATAAACTCAAAGGTAAATCCTATTCACGAAATGTCAACAAATGACAAAATAACCAAGTTCTGAAGAATAAGGACGCTTCAGCCCATTCAGACTTTAAGATTCCCATGAATTTCCACGACATGAACATAACAATCAATAAGCAGAGTTGGGATTGGATAGGATTGGGTGGGACATTTCTCAAGAAAGTTCAAATCATGGTAGTGCCAAATGCTTAACATTGGCATACATAACCTTTCGTTGCAGCTAACCTGTCAACCAAAGTGAATGGAAACACAAACACTAGAATATTTCATCGTAGGCCATGTAAAGTAAGTAGTTCGATTTCTCCAGCCAGGACTCCGCAACAATGTGCATACTATAACACGTACTTATAATATTGTGTGTGAAATAATAGACGGGCTGGTGGGTGACCTATGTGTACTTCTAACAGTTGACTGATGGAATTGAGACACGCCTTGTTGTACACATTATTGAATGCAAATCATCGTATTATTATTGTACACAGTTTTTTTATACACGTTTTCATCGATAAATGTGTAGAATGCGAGCTGTAATCTAATTTAAAACATTTTACGCGTTATTCACTTTATGCAGTAAATAAATAAATATGTCTCACGACAATATTAATATTCGCATCCACCACTCGGTCTCTCGCTGTCAAGTGGAATTTATAAGCGTACACAACTGGAATGCTAACGGGTTGTCACATGCAACTTGTGGGAAAGAAGGAGAGGAATTGTAGACAAATTGTGAATAATAATAAAGTCATCCTTCCATTTTGTGTCAAATTTTCCAAAATATTTAGCTACGACCATGAAAATAGAAAAGGATGTGGTATTGCATGGTTGATGTGTTGTGCATGTGTTGAGGCGTGAAAGGAAGGCGTGCATTATTCAGATCCAGATTATTTTATCAACGTCACCATCACATCACGACGACTAAGTTGGTCTACTGCTTGAAGCAAGTTTTCCATTCACTATTCACCAGGGAATACCAATTTTGAACGTTTCAGAGTTTGAAGACTCATACCATCAAAACTTGCTTGTGGCGAAAATTATGAATTTTATATCATTACGTCAAAGATAGCGAGCATGTTATGACAATTTTAGAAATCCTAATACTTTAGTCTCCCACCTTTCATAAAATTCTGGACGTTTCCAAAATAATTTTGACGGCAGTATCCATCAATATCTGCCAATGCACATCGAGTAACTAACTTCCAGCTCACAAAGTAAAACACGAGGACGAAAAAAACTCTGGAAAGTATACATAAAATGATTACCGAGTTTCGACATGGACGGGAAGCACTTTTGCTGTTCTCCTCCATCTTCCGTCGCCTTTGTATCACACCTCATAATTTTGAATGGGAGAAAGTCTTTTGACTTTGCATTTCTTGACTTGATTTTCTGAAACTTTGTCTGGAAACCTCCATCTCTCGCTCCATCCATCCATTTCGATCCATTGAGTATTGAACTATCGCCTTCCTCAGGTTAGTTTTGTGACTCACGCTATTTGCAATTCTTTGAAAATAAAAGGAACACAATAATTGAGTTCGGAACAGCACTTTATCACATTATTCAAATT